GCAGGCTACACAGCTCCTGCGCAACCTCCTCGACCACTGCGCATTCTCCCGCGCATAACGGTAGCAGTACCGGAGCATTCTGTAAACTCACTCACTTTTATAACGTGATTTTAAAAAAATCTGGATCCTTTTTCCAAAATCTGATTACAGCGGGCTCATCTAGGGCCTATTACCTGTCGACTTACCCAAAAAACTTGGAAATCGGCCCGGTAAAACGCTCAAACGAACTATGACAAAAAGTATAAATTTACATTGGTTAAATGGGAGAATTCGCAACTTTACCACGTAATATAAAAAAACCTGGGTCATATTTTGAAAATCTGGAAAGAGTTGGCTTATCTAGAGACAATTGCCCGTCGATAGCCGCAAAAATCATGAAAATCGGCCCGGTAGAACGCTGGAACTAAGCGTCACCAGTTTCGCAAAATTAGGAGGTCTTGGAGCTTATAGTATAGATTACTAAATTGCAAATGTATATTTCGAGCTAAATACTTAACCTCAGAAGTTTGATACGGAATGAGAAACTCACAGTTCTGTTCGATCAAAGCTTATGGAATGAGATAAATCCGTATTTTTCACAGAGATAACTATTCGTGCTCCCCTGTAGGTTTGTTGCCTACCCGGTGAAATTGAAGGCGACTCTTGAGTAGACAGAGTCTGCCAATAGTTTTGCACATTCTTTTTTAGCTGTATGGAAGAGAATGGACCGAGGCTTTGTGTTTTTCAAAACGCGCTCCTCTGCATGTTTGTTGGGTATTTGCGTTGTTCTTTTGTTATGTGTTTCAAAATTGAAGGCCAACTTCAGATGGACAATATCTACCAAAATTAAGGTTCATAACATCATTTATCGATCCAATTAATGCATGAAGCGGCGTACCCTTATATTTTTCGGATGGCTAACTATTCTCTCACCATGGTGATTCTTTACCTATCGATCGGGGAAGAAGATCGCGAACTTTAGGTGAAAGGTATAAATCAAAAAGAAGGAAGAATCTGGAACTAAACTCATTCGTGAGATGCGTTGATCAGATACATTATGGGCGATGCAGATGCCACGATGGAATTTCAGTAGCTTCCGTTCATTTGAATATTTGAATAGAATCTTAAGATTCTTCTCAAAATTGCTCATACGTGAGACTTAAAAAAAATGATAATTATAAATAGCACGGAAAGATTAGATTAAATATTTTGCTCTTCTTCTAAGAAATATCGCGGTATGAAAGTTACGTGCATTTCCTCATCTAATTCGTTGTCTATGCGAGTTGCAAATAATTCGGAAGAAAATAACCCCATGCAGGCAGGGCCGGATTAAGGGGGTGGCCACATGGGCCGCGGCCCATGGCGGCAAATCTAAAGGGCGGCAAATTTTTGCAATTTTTTTACATGTAGGTATAAAAAAATATCGGATTTAGAAAAAAAAATTACAAACGAGAGAAGGTGACAAAATCTCTCATTTCCCGAGGGTAGAGCAATTTTTAATTTTGTCGTCTTTCAGTGATACAAGAGACAGCACCTTTAGTTAGTCGAGTTAAGAGAGAAACCAAACACGCAATTTGGCCTGGAACGGCGCGGCGCAGAGAGCAATGATGACGAGGACTTGAGATGAAAAGGAGAAGCCCTCGGCGCGGCGATCAGCATGTAACGCATGTTAGCGCCTACAAGACTGCACGAATACTTCACGCATGGTATCAAACAGTGCGGTCATTACGGTCAGCGTGAAACGGATAGCGCCTACAAGAATGCATGACTACTTCACACATTGCGCCAAACGCATGGCGCCTACAAGACTGCGTGAATACTTCACGCATTGCGCCAAACACGGCGCAGTCTGCGCGGCGGCGGAAGTTAAAATCATTAAACCACATTCATGTTTGTTCTTTCATAATTTTAACGTTCATTTCTTATGAATGGAGGGCCTTGTCCACACAGAGATAGGTTTACGAAACTTAACTTTTGCTAGTAATGTGGACAGGGCATTCCCAAAACATGTGTTCAACACGAGTAAACACGTCTTATTCACCCCTCCCCCGCTGGCACGTTCACTTGATGGTTTTTATTGATGTTTCAATACGAATGTGAAGGGAGCGGCAAAATACAGGCGGCCCATGGGCGGCAAGTAGGTAAATCCGGCCCTGCATGCAGGTTCCCTGTATAGAAAGTAATCGTATGATAAGGCAGTAGGATAAACTCACGTATATTAGAATAGACAAAAAATAGAGCTTCCATGCACGACTCTTCCGTATTTACTCAGAAATAAAATCCTCTTATTTTCAGAGCTTTTCTCAATTTTCTCATGGTCACAAAATTATAATTTTTGCCACCCCTTGAGCTATTTCGTAAGCTCTGAAACATTTGAACTTACAACTGCTTCAAAGGCTGCAATTCTATTCAGTTGCCTCAAGATATTTCAAACTTCAAACTTCCTCTCAATTCATTTTTTTTTTTTTGCATTTCCACTTTTTCTCCTACTTCTGCAATAAAATAAAGACATTCGAGGCTTCGAGATTGTGATGGTGGTTGGTGCAGTTTTCATACGTCTCTCTTAACCCTTGATTGATCGAGATGAAGAATATTTCCGCATCAGCACACATACAAACCGAGCTGAACAGAGGAGACTCAAATAACATCGAAATTGAATTGAGAAACGTAGGTTCGAATTTATATTCCTTCTTAAGAGGAACTGTTGCAGATGGAGTTAAACGTTTATTTTCACGTTCAAAATACGACCATCCGTATTAGAATATTCATGAGGGGCAATGCACGGCCGTACGGCCGGTCAAACTCAGAATAGTCTGTACCTCATTTTTTTCAAAATTATGACTTCGTTTCTTTGGGAAATCATTTATAAATATGTATCGCGATAGTGGTGCTAGGAGGAGGATCAAGATATTTTGCGATAAAATGGTATTCAGTCCTCCAGTCTGATGATCCTGGAGATATCACCGTGACTTCGCTCTGTTCTTTGGCCGACTTGCATGAAATATTATCGAGATAGTTTATAGAAAATTTGATTTTGCGAGCGTCTGCCAGGATTTCCTCAAGAGGTGTATTGGAACGTTTGCTAGAGGACAGCTTATACGTGAAATATTGGAGATGACTCACATCGGAGATATGGAGTGTTTCCCTTAACTTTTGATATACATGCATAATTGCTTACCGTCGTGCAGATGAGGTCGGCCTTTATGGCGCACCAAGATGATCTTAAGACGAGAAATGTTTAATGAGAGCCTGGAGCTAGCGGCAGTGAAAGGAGTTCATCGACGCGACGCACAGTGGATCGAGTCAATGAGAGAGTTCGGACATGATTCAAAAACTTTAAAAGCGGATAGCTACATCAATATGAAATTTTGTTGTCTTAAAAGTGGTTCCATTGGTTCTCTCGTCAAATTTTCGACTGGAAAGACCCCTTAAAATTTAAAATTTTACCAAACAAATATCGAAGTTTCCAGTTTTAGTCCAAAAAAACATGTCTAAACTCTTCTACTGACTCGCTCTATTACGCAACGGCTCTGCAAGTCGAGACTTAAGGTCTTAAAGCTCAATGCACCCTGGGTCCTGGGACCCTGGGTAGACCCTGGGTCCCGGGTCTACTATACGCATTGGCGGATCCAGCAAATTGGCAACATTGTCTTTGCTCCATTTGAACCTATGGAAATGTATCGAATTTTGAAGGGGCCAGTTGCTCCGACGATAATCGATCAGGGAGACACACATGTGCACTGGCTACTCAACGTGAAACTCAAATGAAAGCAAGATGGAAGAAGCCAAGGGTGTCATTACTCACTACCGCGGTTGATGACGCCACAAACCAATTTTTTCAAAACGTGATATCTCGGGTAATTTTGAATGTAAGTTGCTGCAGATCTTATTATTTTTAACTAATCTGCAAAAATGAAGCATCAAAACACCATTCTAAGACCAGCGCAACTGACCCATTTTCTAATGCTTATATCAAAGTCGCCGGAACAAGATAAGTTTGTGTTAGACTTGTAGTTTTAAGAACTGACTATTCGCCGCTCATGGTATATACAGTTCATGGTATGGTAGTGCTGTTTTATGTCAGCACTTAAATATGAATAACTGTATTACTTTATGTATATATTATTCTACCTCTCCTTCTCTATTGCTAATGATTAATATATATATTATTGCCTAGGCGGGTAATTGAAGGCGACTTTCAAGAGGATGATACCTGCCAGCAGGTGAAATTATTGTTATTTGGTTCCATCAAAGTTACTGGAACGAGATAAATGATGACCGTATTCATAGTCGTTCATTGAACAGCTTCTTTCCTCAAAGAGGCAACGTGCGATTTACAATATAACTATAGTGAAGGAGGCTCAAGATGGCCCTTAAAATGACATCATAAAAGTAACAATTTTGTAGAGCCTCGACTACGATTATAAAAGGAATTAGATCTTTGCAAGTGATTCCCGCTCACAATGATTAGCCTTTGCAAATGATACAAAGAAAATTTCCAGGGCGTCTGGACCCCCCCCCCCCCCCCCCCCCCTTAGCCTCGTTAATTGTACCTTTTTTTGACTTTTGGAGGGCAGACATAAAATATTATCAGGGACGTACGCAAAATAATGTAAATCCCCCCCCCCTCTCTTAAAGAATTCCTAGCTACGCCTTTGGTACGATGACATGAATTTCAGTTTATAAATGTCATTTTAGGAATAAACTTTTAGGAATTCATTTATGCTGCAGAGAGTCTTTTCAATCAAAATTTGTCTAAGAAAGGAAGAAAACGCTGAGAAGTCAGAGTTTTTGAAAAAAGTTTGATCCACTCTCAGGACAGGTATTATTTCAGAAGCTATTACGATAAAGCCCCTAGTAACTAAAAAAGTCAGAGAAGCGTTAGACGAAATCACTAGATTCCCTCCCCCTCGTGGAAAAGTGACGAGAGGGGGCTCGCTTGGGAGTAAATTATATTCCGGTTTCGTTAGAGTTTGAGTCAGAAATTGTTTTGCATATAGGCACGCGTGCCCGTGCTTGAGCGGGGCGAAAGTCACGAGTTGGCTCCTCATCTTCGGCTCGATGCGGCGGATGGCCGAGCACGGAAGGGCACAGTTTAATGCAACATAATAACATAATATATATTCTATAGTTTTTGGTAAAGTGAGGAAGAAAGGAAAGTTAGGTTCTTGTGTGCGATCTTGGCTCAGTTTTCGTTTTGACATCCCCACGCTACGGGCGCAACTCCGAGAGACGCGAGAACGACGTTCAGTTTACTTTCACAGGTAAAAAGAATACCCTTGCTTTTTCACAGTGTCCTTATTCCGAAGAGCCTATCCATGGCTAAACGCTGAAAACATGCATTTCGGATTGCAACGTTACACATTTTCTCTAATATTTTTTTTATTAAAAGAACAGCAACAAACAACAATTTTTTTTTTCATTGTAACAATTATGATAGTATTTATCTTTACAAGCTAGATGTATAGAATTTTTATATTTTACATTACAACGCACGGAATTTTTAAAAAATAAAATGTGAAAATTACGAATTTAAATTAAAAAAATACTAATAGTTCTATACATTCATTGAGGCCGCTTTCACAGCGCTCTTCGTCGCTCTGCGACTCCCAGCCGGGAAAAGAAGAGCAACTCTTCATTATTTTTGGGAATTTTCTTAGATTTCTGTACTTGCTTTGATTATTAACTAAATTAAATCTGTAAATATTATTTTGACTTAAAGCGTCGTTTCTAGTCGACGAAATTTGGTTTTAGATAACATTATTCCGTGCAGATTTAACTCAAAGTCAATTTTTTTTAAATCAAAGAAACACTGTTTTGTAATCGTTGAGTTTAAATTCAAACAACGACATCAAAACAACGTTCTTTTAACTAAGAAAAACGGATTTAAAAAAAAAAAAAAAACAAATTTTGTCGACAAGAAACGGCGCTTGAAATTTTCTTTTCAGTGTTCCCTAGAAATCACAGAACAAAGTATTCGTTAATTTTACTTTAAAAAAAATGAGACCGGAATTTTGAAACGCTGCAATTAAGTTACGTGGATTCAAAATTTAACCTCTGCTATTCCTCATATGTATGCCTGTCAATTATTCACCAATGGCTAACGTTACAAATTTGTTTCTTTGATCGTAGCGTTTGAGAATCCTCGATTACCTGTGCTCTAGTTTTAAAAAAATAAATTTAAAAAAAAATTGAAATTTTCTATGAATTTTCTCAACTTATTAGAACATATTTACACAAAATTTCAAAGAGATATATTTTGATTAGTAAGTAATTTTCAGTAAGTATTATCATTGACGAGTCATTTGTTTGAGCCAGGGGCACGGAAAAACGTATGAGCTCGTGCTTGTGAGTGCTTTTTTTAACTGTACTGTTAAAATTTATGCGGGTAAAAGAAAAAAATTAAACGACTTGATGAGAACTGAAAAAATGCAACTTAAAACAAATTAGTTAACATTAATGGCAAATCAAATGAAATTGAGCGCACTAATGACGACAAACTTTTGCATTGTGTGAGGCAGATTTTGTGCTCCTTTAGATGTTTCAATACACTTATGGATACAATCCCAGTGAGTGTCATGATCAATCTATCAAGTTGGTACGTAAAATTGATTTATAGAAGTAAAAATAAGTACTTAAATCTTAGAGACACGCTTAGGACATTAACTGCTTAAAGCTACTATATTTCAGGGAGCAATAACTCAACATTAACACGCGATATCTTGATCGACGCGTCTACTCAACCTCCCACTGAGTTTGAGCAAAAAATTACGCTTGATCATCTGAATTCAATGCAAAGTTCTGGAAACGTAACACTTTTAGGCACACATGTCATTCAAAATTTCTTAACGTCAACATAGTTTTCAAGCTTAAAAAATTATGCGAGGATCTGTAGCCTGAGTGGTCTATGCACTTTAACAAACTGATTGCAGTAAACGCAGGAGCCGTATGGACAGGAAGTTGGTAATGTAGCTAACGTGCGTTAAAATCCAAAAAAACTGGAAATCACAATACAGAGGGAAAAAGCTCATTCAAGCACAATTTCCCTTCAAAGAGATACGCTGTTTGGTGCAACACTAGTTACAACCGTTCAGGGAGGCAACTGCAGATGCGTTTATTCGGGTCTAATTGTGGGGTTTGGAGGAGCTTGGAGAAAATTAAGATATTAATGATTTCAAGTAAAACTAGTCTTAATGCATTCTCTGTGCAAGATTTGCTCCGAAATACCAAGCTTTAAGCATCAACAAGTCAGATTGAACTTTCTTTCCACCATAAGAATCCACGTAATTTCCAAATTTCAAACACGTATTCAGGGGCGGACCGGTAGTCGAAAAGTTAGGAGGCGACCTAAATGTGGGGGCCCCTCTAAGAAGGTCCGGGGGCCCTCCCCCGGAACATTTTGAAAATTTCACACTTTTTAAACGCAATTTTAAGCATTATTGGAGTTAAATTCTACAGCACTTGAACTATAAAACAACCCACTCTTAGGATTTTTCGGGGGCCCCTTCATCAAATAAGCTTTTGGCGATCTTTCATGTCTCTTAGAAGAGACAAATTTTCAAGGATTTTGGGGCCTTTCAGTGACTGAAAAGGATAGGAAAATTACAACATTAAGGGGGAAAAACGATGACTCGAAAAAAATTCGCTGCGGGGGCCCCTTTGGGACCTCTGCGGCAAATTGACGTATTTCTCAAAATTGCAAAAACTGCACTTATGCACCTTGTCCTCCAAGCCCCTCAATTGAGCCTATCACCAACGCAGCGCAGTCTCCTGAATTTTCTGCTACCAATTGTTATTGCTATTTGCTAATTTCTATTTCTGTTTTCTGGATTCTAACGCACGTTGGCTGTTTCCAGCTTACAGTCTATAAGCTCTTCAAAACGGTATATACGTCACTTTTTTTACACTTTTTAACGCAAACTCGAATAGAAGCGCTGAGTGACGGCACGGTGGAAAACAGTATTTTTTCCACGTAGGCACCGAGAATGAGATGATCGGCTAGGTCAAGAACCTTGTAAAAAAATAAGTGGAGCCCTCCCGATCGTCGCATCGTATTTCGACGCTTACCCCGTCGCGGTAACAGTTCCTATTATTTTATGACACGCAACCCCCTCCTCCTAGTCCCTCGAGTATAAGTTTCGGCTTTGTCAAAATTTTATTATAGGCTCATTCTTCCTTCCAGTCTCTCCTCTTACTCTCCGTGTATCGAACTTTACTGTTGCTCTAATAATGCGTGCGCTGTAATCTTCAATTGGACAACATTGAGAAAACCAGGCATATCCACATCGAGATGTGAAAAAAGACCTATGAGTGAAAGTGTGGGGCTGGTAAAGTATGTTAGATAGGGCCGCGCCAATACCACCTAACTATACCCTCCAGAAAGAGGTTAGGAACCGGTGGTAAAGACCAAAATACACGGCATCTAATGGGGACTGCTGAAACGAGTGAGTGTTCGAAATGAAAATTACGTGCAAATATTTCAACACAACTTTAATTTAAGACGCGCGTTTGAAAATGAAGAACTTAAAAGCATTACAATTGCGTAGAAGAATGACAAAACTTTACTCAGCTAGAAGCTGACCCAGGTGAGAAAATCTGACTTTAATTATGACTTGGAAGCTTTTCTAGAAATTCACTTTTTAAAGAAGCTCAAAGTACATATGGCTGGTTTGTTTAACTCTATTTTTTTTTAATTTTTACCTCTTAATCGTCGACCTCGTAGTGAAAATCACGCGATACCTAGGATCGTTTCGAAGTCCTAGTGTGAGTTCTCATCGGAGAGCGTAAGGAACTGAAAGAGAGCTTCTTTCAGAGGAGTCTCAGGGACCTCAAAAAATATGAACGAGGCGTGCAAAACAACGCGTTGAGGGATATTTGGCCACGTTGTGGCCGCTAAAGCCTACCCGTGCTTCCATGCCGGGTGGGCTTTTCGAAAAACAAAGGGCCGCTGTAAATCCCAATACAATCTCGCGTAAACGTAAAACTTCTACTCCTTTATGTGAAAGTGCTTTTGCTGTCATCAGCTCAGATCCACTACCGAGGAGTGGAAAAAATTGTATGTTAGAATGGAGCACCATATCCATCTCTTTGCGCATCAGAGGAACTAGGAGGGGGCTGGCTCTCCAGGAATCCACTCAGCCTTCTCTCGGAGATGCAAAGGATTTTCCAAAATAAGACCGCGAGTCCGTGACATTTATTTCTATTCATCTTTGAACTGTATTTTAAGAACGATAATTTCAACATTTCCGATGGATTTGTAATGCAACAGAGAGTCACTTGAAGTTTCCCTTACTGTGCTCTAGAGATGGTTTCAAAGGTCATTATGGCGTCATTGAATATTTCTCTGAAAAATATTCTGCATCCAATTCAAGAGAATCCAAAATCAAATAGTAAAATAATCGTGACCACCTCTGAGAGGGTATCTTGATCTCGCTTGGACATAGAAGAAATGAGTGTGATCTGTGAGTTTTGTGGTGCAATATATTGAAAAAATTAATGGTGTTACTTAAAAAAGTATGGTGGCACCGAGGTTAGTTCAGGTGCCAAAACTGACACATTAAACGTGTCAAGTTTTAATGTATTATTCAGAAACGAAAATGCTAGGATTAACGAGCAAAAGCACAATAGTATCTTTGGGTTCGCATCCTTCTCGCAAGAAATGTCACAACATCAACAAATGCCTAAAAAACGGAAAGTTTCCTCCTCAGAAGGCGTAACTGGAACTTCTTTTGATGTCGGGTCGATCTGTGAAAAGGGCCTAATCACTCTCGTTAATGGGAGCATTCTGGCTAATCCGGTCATTTGACTCGTCGCGCCATCGACAGCTTCTGTTCCAAAATGTCCTAAAAGTGTCTACAACGATCGTGTTTTCATCCTTTGACCGACCTTTTCCTCCTTTTTCTTACCTCCGACACTGGTTAATTACGAGTACGTGATTTGAATGAGCTCAATTCTCAGCCTCTCGATTTTTTTATTTAGTCTATGTGTTGCCAGTCAGGGAATTCATTTCTCCCTCACTATTCAGCCTTAATGTTTATCCATATCAAAGCGTGATAGCCCAGACAATAGCGAAGATCCATGTTGTGGACATCCACCTTTTACGAGATTTATCGCAGATGAAATTAGTATCGATAATATTTGTTCAGTCTTCACACATATTTCTATTTTTCTTATTTTTATGATAGGAACAATTTGTTGCTGATATTCGAGTCGTAGAATTCGAATGGATTTGTGCTCCTTTGCTGTTGAGATGAAAATAGGCTGC